ACAGTAAATGTTCTTCTAGTCCTCCCACTCTCTGGATATGGATTAAATGTGGTGTGACGGGGGGGGGGGCGTTTAGAAAAAGAAACAAACTCTCTGGTGTATCGTGCTGTTCTCTGACTGTTGTAACCTCCCTCAGCTCTTTAAGTTTCCTCTCTGGTGTCATCTGGTTCATTGTTGAACTGTGGGACTGTTTCACGGCCTCTCCCCTTTTTCCTTCTCCTCTCTCTGCACCTCACACTTCCTCCTTAATTAAGCAGTCCTGTGTTTATTCAGGGATTAATTTTTGCCAGTGAATGAAGACAAAACCAGTAGTTATTAACGAAGCTCCTGCACTGGGCCGGGCCCGGTTCAGCCGGCGTCCACCGGCCCGAGGTGTTCTTGCCGCAGTGCGCGGCACGGCGCTCAGGGATGAGCAGAAATAATGTGGCTGGGTGTTAAATTGAGGGCAGAGCTATTGTTCAGCTGGAAAACCATTATCTCCACATTTCCAACCATCATTTTAATACCTCGTCCCAACACTGCTGTATTACCTCCATTTGATAATCCTGCCATTAATAACCTTTGCAGACTGCGTTGCTTCTGCTGCTGATTTGTGCTGTAAAACTATTTTGTCCTCGGGGTGTTCCGAGGGGGGGTTAGATGGAAACCGTGGTGCACTGACCTTCAACATGTTCATGCTGAGTTGAGCAGATTAAATATAGCAAATTGGGCTGTGATTTCACTGCAGCTAAAAGCAGATTGTACTTCAGTGGTTGTGACAGAGTTTGCTTAATTAACTCCACAACGCGACACGACGAGAGCGCTGGGCCGGCTGCAGCGCCGTGTCCATCACTAACTAATGGCTCCATGTACAGGAAGTGTGACAGTGTTTCAGGTCACACATGAGACAACGCTGTTGCCTCAGTCCATATGACGGAGAGCTTTTAATATGCGTCCCCCAGGAACATTTTACTTAACACTAGATGGATGTTTTCCCACATATGAGCATCCTATAAAATTTTTTTTTTTTTAAATCACATCTGTCCAGATGTCTTATTGTTTCCTGCTCATCTCCATATTTCCTGTCACTTGCACATAGACTGGCTCCAGACATCTGAATCACTGCCCATATCTATGATTATTACTGATCCAGGGCCGGATGTAGAGATTAAGTGTACGCACAAAAACCACACACACCATATCCTGCACTTTTTATTAAAGTGGATTTGTATTTGTGCGTCTCACTCATACTTCAGGGTTTTCTGGAGCCAGCTGTGGAGGAGATTAAATAAAAGATGTAATTGTAATTGGTAAAAAAAAACATTGTTAAGGTTTGTTGCCAATTTTCTTGATTGTGTTATTATTTAAATCTTCACTGTGACACTTTGACGACATTAATCAGCCTGATTTTAAATGACAGTTTGACTGATGGGCTTTATTATTGTCTTTATTAACAGTGGAGCCGTTATTTCCCCTGTCGATGATCTTTAATTTTATCCTTTGTGAAAGTTTCACTATAATATTATCATTGATCATCTCTCAGACGGTTAATTATGATGATTGAGATATCAGAGTAACGATGCTCTACAGGTAGGTGTGATTAATTAATAGTGCGGTGCTATAAATACCCACAGCCGTGTGGAACAGTCAAGTGTGCTGACAGCTGTTCTGACAAAGCTGGAGAACCTCACAGCTGTGACACAGTCGGTAAAACTGCACTTCCTTTTAGTTCCTCACACTGACAGGTCTAATGAGAGACACAGACTGATGTTTAAAGGTGTTTCTGTGGGAGTGGGAACAAAGCCTGTGCATGTGAACCCACCTCCACAACAACTGAGGGTAATGAAAAAGAATCGGGCTTTGTAAACCTCATGTATTTCTCAAAACTTCAGTATTAAAAGTGTATTTTCTCTCTCAGAAAATAAGTTTTGTTTTTATTTGTCCAGGTTTAAAGGAACAGATACGTTGTGAATCATCCCCAGAACACACTATAAACGGTGGTTACACTTAATTTCACGGCTTCGTCATTTTCTAATGATTTCGTGGGAGCTATTTAACTTAATATTAATTCTTATTTAAATCAATCTTATTCAGATCAATATTTAACCTGTGACCAGTGAAATCAAAATTCATTGCACTTCAGTTGTATCAGGGTGAAATAAAACCAGATCTATCTACACGGAGAGATTTTATTGAGGGAAGTCAAAAAATTATGACTGTGTCTAGTTATTCACTATACAGGATTCAATGTTTAGTCTGACATCCTGTGAACTGAAGCTGCATTAGTGGCTGCAGGAGCAGTTATTATTACAGTATTAAGTCGACTTACGACAAGCTGCACAGCTGTGTCCAGCTGTGTCCAGCTCCTTGACCCTTGTGGCTTTTTATCTGTCGTCATTTTTAATGGATGTAGCAAAGTAATAACGCAGGAATGACGCCCTCACGCTTCTTCACCTGCTTACAGAGCTCTAATTGGTTGATTGTTTCACTAACTGCTGAGAGCAGCTGAGTACCAGAACCATTTGTATCAGATCAGAGAAGTGGGCCATTCAAAAGCCTAAAACAAGCAGAAACAATCCCATAATGCAATGGGAAAAGTGGTGTACAAAGTCTGGAGGATGCAAAAAATTGACTGAAACTACCATCTGACCCACTGTGTGGTCCAATACACAGAGGTGAGCCCACACTCTGAGGGGCAATAAGCAGTGAAGCCCATTGCAGACAATCAGCTGACGCTAGCTACAGCACACATCATCAGGGGCCCCATTAAGGGGTTTTGGGGCCGCAGCAGTGCACTGTATAGTGTCTTAATGAGAGGTTTAAGGGGGTTTATAGTTGTCATTACAAAATGTGACAATATGAGGGGCCATCAGGGGCCTCTTTTCCCCTTGGGGGCCTCAAACATTTGCTTGATTTGCCTTTCCTCACCACTGGCTTTACAAAGAAGTCTCAGTAGAGTGAGTGGTGAATAATTTAACACAGCATATTGTTGGATCTGGTAGGGACGCGTTTGGTTATTTAGTATGATTTATTTTCATGTCTAAAAATCATAAATTATTTACTAGGAAATGATTAATGATCATTATTAAAGTTATTAATATTAATTAATAATATGGGGCACCACCCACACAATAACCAAACCAGGTTGCAGTCTCACGACCTAAATAGTTCATTTAAAGTAGCTGACCTCCTGGGGTCAACGACTGCAAGAGACTAAACAAGGTCAAGTTCGAGCTCTGACTCTCTCTGTCAGCCACAGGTCACAATAAGCATGCACCATAATGACTAAAGACTAAAGACTTCTCTTTAACTACAATAATGTTCACAATCATCAATAAACTTAAGCACAGTCCAGATTAATAACACTATTCTACCAATCATCCAACTAACCAAGCACACAGAAAACACAGCAATACAGAAAACGCATTCAGATGGGGTGTGTGTGTGTGTGTGTGTGTGTGTGTATGTACGTATGTGTGTGTATACGTGATCTGAAAGATGACGTCACGTGAGCCAAATTGGCGGAAGGGGTTTGTCTTGGCTAGACAACAAGCAGCACCGACTAGCGGTTGGAGCTCTTGTGCTCACCCAACTTAAAATCCTCCCCTCCACTCTTGAACCTGCAATCCTCATGTTTCTCACCAAGATTATTTAGTGTTAAACGACTGCAATTTATCTACAGCTGAACGCCTAACTTTAAATTGAAGTGTTGATCTGAGAGATATCAGCCATCATTTCACACCATCAAGAAAAATAATCATCAGACAGGGAGAGAAAATCACAAGCAACACATCTGCTGTTTGGACAATTCCTGACGAATCAATCCAGCTGTCATTCTGAAAAGATGAAGCCACCAATTCTCACCTGTATTCAACCTCTGAAATAAAACGCTTCAATATACTCTCCTCCAGCAGCAGCACAAGATCACAACTGAGTGAAATCTGTTATGTTTCATTCAATAGTCTCTAATTCCCCTGGAAAAGTCACTGACTAAGGCTCTGAGCTCCTTCCCTCCTCTATAGCATTGATTAGCACCATTTAACATGTCACATAATGCCCATAATGACACTTTTCAATAACAGAATCACTGCTGTGATGAGGCAAGGTCAAGTCGCTTCATACAGAGGTATTGTTGAGGCCCATTGTGGGATTTTTTACATGTTAAAATCCAGCCTTCACTGAACTGTCAGTTCTTGTTCTTGTCTCAAATGGATTTAATGAAGGACACTTTGTGTCAGACCAAAGTTCACTGCTGCTGAATATGACAAACACCCTCTTTAACATCCGGTGGAAGTTGTTTCTGGTGTTAAGCTGCTGCCAGGAACGTTAGTGTGTTGACTTTGGTTCATCTGTGATCAGATTTATGTCACAGTTTAGATCAGATTAATGTCCCTGGTTTGCAATTAAAAAAAAAAGTCCATGTTACTGCAGGCGGTGGTGATGTATGCAAGAACATTTAAATAAAATGGGAATTGAACATTTAAAGGTGACTTACAGTTTCTGGCCACTGGTGGCACTAAGAAGTTGGTCTGTTTTATTTGTAGGACTTCATCTATTTGTATTTTAATTCATAAGATCTATTTTTTTCATTTCTTTTTTTGTTTGTTTTAATTGATTATACTCTGTTTTGTGTTTTGTTTTAAACATTTACTTCATTTCTTTGCTTCATGTATTTACATTGAGATATTTAAGGACCTGGTCACGTGACTCATCTTCAGGGTTATATTTTTTCTCATATTGTCACATATGTGAAGCTGCAGTATTAAGCTCTTAAAACACTGTACAAATATGACTATTTAAGCTCTCCACTGCAGTAAGAAAAAGGGTTATGAGGCAGAAAAGTGACAGCAGATATGAAAATGAAGCAGCTTCATATCTGGAAATCAGAATTCACTTGCCTGAGGCCCCTGAGGGCCTGAGGATCTGAGGACTGCAGGAGAGATTTACTCTGGCTGCCTTCAGGTCAGAGAGATGAGTTAATGGTCTCCTTGTGACTGAGCTGTTTATCTCGTCTCCTCTAGGATCCTGGAGTTGCAGGAGAAAGGCGACCTGGACATCATGAAGCAGAAGTGGTGGCCTCGCACCGGCCGCTGCGACCTCAACAGCCACGCCGGCGCCCACCCGGACGGCCGCTCCCTCAAGCTGCACAGCTTCGCCGGCGTCTTCTGCATCCTGGCCGCCGGCCTGCTGCTGGCCTGCCTGGTGGCCGGGCTGGAGGCTTGGTGGAACAGCAACCGCTGCCGCCAGGAGCAGCCCAAAGAGGTGACCGAGCACAGGGCCCGGCGGACGGGCCAGTGGGGGGAGGACACTGCCACACTCTACTTTAAGGATCCAGCCGCAGACGCGAGCCCCGACTTAGTGGAGCTCCAGTACACCCAGCTGTAGAGGAGAGAGGGTTAGGAACTAGAGTTAGAGCTGGAGAGCTGGGGGACAGAGGGTGGTGAGGCAGGACAGAGTAGGTAGATGTGCTCTGTGCCACATCAGCCCAGGCCACTGATTGAAATCAAATTTGGTCTCTTATTATTACCCCCCCCTTCATTTTTTCTTTTATCCGTCCATCGCTTCCACCCACTTCGTCCTACACTGACAGAGCTCATGTGTTTTTGTATGAAACCACACGACGCACACAGCGCACTCCACTCGACCATCACCTTTACTAATCCGCTCATGAACCACCCAGGAGCCGTTTTCTTGGCCTTGACGCAAACACTCGAGGCCTTACGAGCAAACAGTGTGGAATGAGCCCAGCAAGTCGGGCTCTGGCTATTTGGCATGTCCTGCATGTTTCCCAGCAAAACCCTCCTCTACAACAGCTGAGTGCACCCGCAGACTTTAATGATTAATTCCCACAGCGCCGGCTCCGTAACCATTCAAGTGCTTGGTATTGAATTATTGTTATAAACTCATTTTCTACAGTGAGGCTTTGGTAATTTCCTGCACCCAAGGGTTCTGCAAAGAGATTATAATTAGCAGGCGGGAGAGAGACGGATAACAGACACACTTTCTTAACACTTTTGGACATTTTCCATTTCAGTGTGAAATCCTTATGAGACATCAAGAGACACAAAGAGTCATTTATCATGTCCAAGAGAACTTAAAGTGCAGCTCACCCTGGGTTCAAACATTCACAGTGACATTATCACAGTGGGTCACAATCATCTGCTGTTGTTGCTAATAGATACTCCAGCTTTACTGAATAAAAACCATACGGCATCCGATTACTCGATCACTCTCTGAATGTAACACACACCTCTGTAACTCCTCAGCTAATAGCTCCACCTTCACAGGGTTTACAGAGAAGCAGCGGATTAAACATTCATGCTCTCTAATAAATGTTAATAAGCACTGACAACAACATCTGCACTAAACTGATGTTTTTAGTGCAGATAAATCAACTCCTATAATTATATTCTACTGATTTATCACCAAGTTATTAGGGAGAGTTGTTACACCTCAAAGGAAGACACTGTTAAACTGATCTGGGGTCAGGTTGTGTCTCAGTATTAGACTAAATACTCATTTAACCAGGTTTAAGGTGTGTGGAGAACTTGTTTCAATAAGAGTGTGGAAACATGTTGACAAGTGATTTGGCTTAGCTAAGATAATTTCAACTCATATTCACTCCTAATTAATTAATTTGTAAAATGTTACATGAACCGTCAGAAAGTCCTGCATTTCATTCATGTATGTGCATCATAAAATAACTTATATATACATATATATATATATATAATCTGTGATTTACAAGCGTACTCACTTTAAATGTAAATAGACTGTATATATATATATTTTATTTCTTACTTTCGCCTGAGACTGATGAGACCTAAATTTCATTGACATTGACATTTTTTCATTATTCCCTGGTTTATTCTGAACAATATAATTAAGCCTAAAGTCAATTAGATAATATAATCAGCAGTTGGTGACATTTATTTCAAACAGTTAGAGTGACATTGAGTTGGTCAGGTTCCTGTAGCTGGTTCCATTTTGGATCTGAAGTGAACCTTTTATCTTGTAAACAGCGCAGTGTGCATGTTACTGTAACAGTGTTTAGCTTGGAACTGAGACATAGACTCAACATTTACTTCTCCAAAGATTCATTAAGCTCCGCTTGAACACAAACTGACCTCAGACCTGCCTCCACACAACAACATTCACCTGCAGTGCCAAACACAGACACACACTGTGAATGTGACCAGGATTCAGGATTTAGTCATGTGACAGGGGACAAATTGACAGAGCAGCTATGATGTGGATCCATAAACTAAAGTGTGAGCAGACAGTTCACGTTGGGTGAGTCGCCCTGTAGCAATAAGATTTGTCCCGTCCAGTCCATAACTCCTGGTTCTATCACTGTTTCACGTCTTATTGCAAATTATATGTCAATGTGGACACCCGTGTTATCTATCTCCTCTCCTTCTCTCCATCTATCCTCTTCATTTTTATTTACACTTGACTGTCTATGATCTCGTGCAGGTTACTAAGGATTACAGACTGGCAAGGGTTTCTGGTCCATTGACATATAATGACATTACAACTGCTTCATCGGAGGGGAGGAGGGACATTTGGACAGACAGAGAGAGAGGCTGGGATGAAGCAGAAGCTATTGACACAGGTCAGAATAGACCTCCTATACAACTATCAAAATAAAGACACACAAAAAAAAAAAAAAAAACAACAACAACATCTGTGCCTTCGCCAAGGTCCTTCTGTTTGTTTGATTTATTTCTAAATTTATAACAGAGCAAAAAGTTTCCTCATGCTGGTTTTTCTGTGGCGCAAGTTCTGGAAATAAATCTTTAATTTGTTCTCCATAGATAAATGTATGCAATGTCCTATGAGTGATAATGGTGATACACATCTTATCTCCAGAAAACATTACGACTAATGTCATCTACTCATTTCTATTCCATTACAACCATAAACTAAACTAATGATCACATGCCAAAGTTTTATTTTTGTCCCTTCAAACTAAAACTTTTTAACAGGTGGTGTTTTACTTCACAACTTCAATCAGAAGTTTTGTTGTCAAAATTTCTGGCTCATTGAATCGTCCTCTGATAAACTGCCAAAGCTAAATATCAGTTTCTTTATCAGAAAATGAAGCAGTAAATAATTTCCAGAACCAGACGTTTCAGCTTTAGACAAAGGAGGAAAAAAACTGGCCCGAAATGACTTTAGTTTGATGTTAATTGCAGTTTGTGAACGACACAATATTTAAAGTTGTAACTGATGCCTGGACCTGGCTGCTCCGTCACACTCACCTATAACACCGTCAGTAGAAACACTCCTGGTTCTTCTAGTGCCTTTCTGTTTCTCCTTTGGACATCTTTAACTGTGTGAACGCATTTCATTAAGGGCTGACCGCTAACCTCACCTTTACCTGTCCTAGGCCTGTTGAACAACCAGCTCAGTGCCTTTCAATACACACCAAATGTAAACTAAAGGTACTTCATTGAGATATGTGCTGGTATTATCTCTGAATACCAGTATTCTTCTATTCACAGAGCAAAAACGGTGTCAGTGAACTCAGACTTACACAGTGCTAGTCAGGAGTTTCTGATATATGATCAGAGAAGTTGCAGCAAAGTTATCCAAACAAATCTGAGTGTACAAATATTTCTCATTGGCAGAGTTGCTCTCGAAGCAGAAATCAGAGTGTGATCGTTTTGTAATACAATCCACACTAGATTGGGAAAACTCTGATTTCAGTCTCTGATTTTCAGCTTTGAAGTGTCATTTGTATAAATGGCAAATTAGCTTCGCAGAGCCAGAGAAGAAAGCATCCAATCAACTGGAAACTGAATCAAGAGGAGTATGAGGAGAATTCAGATGTGTTGTGACCTGCGGCCTTCACGAACCTGCAAAAGATCTTAAACTGTTATTATAAAATCAAACTGCACGGCCTTATCTGCACCACAGGTTCATCCAGTAATGGATTCAGTGGATAATTTCATTTCATCATGCAGGACGACCAAATGTTGATATGTGACTGACTGAGCGGTGATTAACATGATTAACAGCATATCGAGCTGGTACAAACCACAATAACAGAAACAGAAAATGAAGCTAACGGCTAAGCTAACAGCAGCGTCAGTCAGTCCACCACTTTGCCTCAGACTTAAATATCTCAGCAACTGTCAGGTGGATTGACATGAAATTAGTTTCAGACGTTCATGTTCCCCTTAGGATGAACTGTAATAATTCTGCTAACTTTCATCTAGTGCCATCATCAGGCCACATTTTAATTAGTCCACTACTTTATGACCAAGTACCTGCAAAACTAATGACATCACACTCAGCCTCAGGCTACATCCACACTAACACGTTTGTTTTATAATGCCGTTTTGGCCTGACGACAAGCTGGAACTGTTACTCGTTACACTTGAAAGGAACACGAGATTAAGACGTCATGGCAGCAGAAAACAGATTTGGAAATTGTTGTTTTCATCCAGAGTCATGTGATAGGAGCACTACGAATCAGAGAAGGTTGTGACTGATAGGAGCCAATCACAGAGCGGTAGTCTGTGTCATTGTTTCCAAACGTCTCAGTTTCTGCCCATCTAGACTAAAATTCAACACCAGAGTTTTCAAACCAAAACCAACAGTTTTTCCAAAAGTCTCCACTGTAGAAGCTGAAAAACTCCTGATTAGCGTGGATGCTAGGTGTAAACATGGCAAAAGTGATGGGTTTTAAAACTAAAAGGTATTAGTGTGGATGTAGCCTCAGTACTGTGCAGAAATGTGCTGACATTAGCATTTAGCTCAGAGTATCACTGTGCCTCCATACAGCCTGACAGAGCTGCCGGTGCTTCTGACTGCAGCTGTAATGATGCTGGGAGCTACGCAGGCTAACTGACTAGCTTTATAGTATCACCAGTGGCCTTTTTTCCAGGTTTAAACCAAAACTAGACTGCATTGCTATGTAAGGACCAGCTTCAATCACTAATGTGTAAGGCGACGACTGCCACTGAGAAATGACCAGTTTACAGAGTTGAAGTCAGCATCATCATCATCGTCAGTGGTCACAGGGAGGATACATGTCCTGTCTAGGCGTGGTCACTGCTCATGAGACTTTAACTGCCACTCGTGTCCCAGTGAGAGACGCTGACATCAAACGCCTCTGTGCTAAAAGGCTTTAAATGTTTCAGAGAGCCACTTGAATCATAATGAAGCAGAAACAACTAGAAACTGTTCTTATCACACTCGAGCAAAGCCCACTCCACAGTTGCAGTATTTGCAAAGTAGCAGGAGAGAGTGATTTACGCCCCCCGCCCACCCCCACCTCCCCACCCCCCACCCCCCACTGGGAGCACTCATTAAAAGAGCTGTTTGTTTTCAAAATTAATAGAGGCTTTCAGACGGCTGTTGTTTTCTTCCTCTCCACTTACATCACTGGTCTGTCTTTAACAACCGGCTGAGGTTTAATCCCAGCCATTTATTTATTTAGGCGAGCTGCCAGTTTGACACCACTGAAAACATATTTTAATGAGGTGCCAGTCCGCTGAAACAATAACCTGTGCTGAGATGTTTTAATTGGCTTTGAGAAGAGCTCTCTGAGACTGGAGAGGGATCATTCAGAGCCTCAGGCCTCTGGGTAAACACACTTTGTGTTTACATGTTCCTTTAAGGTCTGAACAGANGTATTTGCAAAGTAGCAGGAGAGAGTGATTTACGCCCCCCGCCCACCCCCACCTCCCCACCCCCCACCCCCCACTGGGAGCACTCATTAAAAGAGCTGTTTGTTTTCAAAATTAATAGAGGCTTTCAGACGGCTGTTGTTTTCTTCCTCTCCACTTACATCACTGGTCTGTCTTTAACAACCGGCTGAGGTTTAATCCCAGCCATTTATTTATTTAGGCGAGCTGCCAGTTTGACACCACTGAAAACATATTTTAATGAGGTGCCAGTCCGCTGAAACAATAACCTGTGCTGAGATGTTTTAATTGGCTTTGAGAAGAGCTCTCTGAGACTGGAGAGGGATCATTCAGAGCCTCAGGCCTCTGGGTAAACACACTTTGTGTTTACATGTTCCTTTAAGGTCTGAACAGAGGAGGAAGCTCTCAGGCTGTGTTAGCTGTTAGCATCACAGGCACGTGTGCCAGGAAGTGCTCTCGCTACCACTCTACCTCAATATGAATCAACACTGAAGGCATTTTCATCTTAAGAGCAAACGCTTTGCTCATGATAACTGCCTCACAAATAAACTTATACTTGTTTCATTTCCACTAAATCGACCAATATAATATGTATGTTTTTAAATGAATGAAAACATTCAAAAAGAAAAAGGAAGAGATACAACAGTTGGATGAAGTAAAGTTATAATCCTTAAGATTTCAGTCCTGTGGGATTTGGCGACACCTGTGGTGACTGGTGGTAACAGCAGGGGCAGTTAAACACCACAGATCTCAGAGTTGCAGCTTCTTTACAACAGAGGAGGAACAAGTAGTCTTGCCTAGTGGTTTTACACATTTTCAGAGAGCAGTAGCAGTCAGGGCTAACCTACGGCTCCTTCACAATAAAATCCACCCCATGTTTCACCAGTTCGATGCTTTTAGTGTGAAGCAGTAGCTGTAGAAAATGATGGGTTTGAATTAGATGTTAATCAGTGCATATATATCAGTGGATTTTAAATTACAAACCTTTATATTCAAATACACACAGGCATCATTTCCTGTGGATCCCTCAGGATTCGCTGTGTGGTGATTAAAATCCTGCTCGGGAAAATCAAACTCATCAGAAATGTAGTTTGATATAATGAAAATCTTAAGGATTATAACTTTAACATGTAAAAGAAAAATCCAAACCAACACAGAGTTTTCTGTGGTTGTATCTTCGGGGGCGGGGCAGGGCGGGGTGGGGTGGGGGTTGCACGACTTCAGCATTAGTAAAATCCTGATAACACTGCAACATGAGTGAATATGTGTGTGGTATTAATATACAGTGTAACTGTGTCGTGTGCATTGTTCTGAATATCACTTGTGTCACTGTGACGAGTTACTGTGACTAATATCATTGTACCTGAGTTAAAGTGAACACAATGCTGGAGCCAAGTTCAGGGACGCTCACTGACGCTGTGTTCGTTGTAAAGTGACTGGCTGCACTGACTCACACACACACACTCACACTCACACTCACACACACACACACACTCACACACTCACAGAGACATGTCGAGAATCTGGATCCAGAGCCAGAGCCTCACTTGATATGCGAGTCACACCTCCCGTCTCTCTCTTTACCCCTTGTCCTCTACCTTCCCATGACCCAGTGTACTGAAGCAGACCTGCGGTTCAACAGGGAAACACTCAAGTGTCTATTAATGCCTAACAAGTATGCACAGCTGCAGTCGGCAAGAGATGCAGCGTCAGCCGATGCTTTGATTAAATTGGTCTGATAGGAAACCAATTCTCCGATCCTCTGGCGCAGAGTGTACCAGCTCCAAGGGCAGCGAGGAAAAAAACATACACCACAGAGAGGAGGGAAAACACAGCTGAACATGTTTTCAGTTTCAGTTGAGTAAGTCTGGAGAGTAACGCTGAGGTGTGAACAAATTTTACTCTTATTGCCTTGAGCAGCATCCAGATCCAAATTCAGTCCAGAAACAAATCAATCACTCTCAGTCCATCACACGTCATGAGCATCTTCAAGAAACCACAGCCACCAACAGCTTTACAACAAACCTCCTTCAGTCAGTTTGGCTCCAGGATTGTTTTTCTCCAGACATCAAACCTTTAATACTCACTGGCCAAGTTTGATTTCAAAGTGCAAGTACCAATTGGTTTCTGTGGCCTCAGTTTCCCACTGGGCTCAAACCAAACGAGGGTCTGTCTGTCAGCTGACCAGCTGACGTCAGTCCACCGATTCAAAACAAAGGCCACGTCCAAACATTATGACAGGTTGAGAATGCATGGAGCACCAGCAGACCTGAACCAGTCTGAGAAACCGGCCCATCGCCAATCTCAGCCTCTGTGTCCCTCCTCCCTCCTCTCCTCCCTCCCCCTGTCTCTCCTCTGTCCTCCTCCACCCCCCACTCCTCCTCTTATAGGACAAGGAGGTGAATCTGGAACAGGTGCATCGTCGTATGAACAGTCTTTTGGACGAGGACTTGGCCCACAAGCAGATCCCCGGCCCCTCTATCGAGATCTCTGCGCTGGACATCGGCAGCATGCAGCCCAGCCAGGCCTCTCTAGTGGCGGGGCCGGAGTCCGTGCGGGACTACCCGCCCTCGGGCCTCGCTGTGACCACCTTCCTCCCCGGGGAGGGGGGACCGCCTCCTCCTCTTCCCCACCCTCACCATGGGGGGACCCTAGGCAGGACGCTACCCCCGTCCCAGGGCCCTGGCAGCACCACGTTGCCCCCACACCACCCGCTCAGCAGCACCAGCCTCAGCGGCACCATGCAGTGCAAACACAGGGCCCCCAACGGGGGGCTCTTCCGGCAGAGCCCTGGCAAGACACCCATGCCAATGTCCTACCAGGCAGTCTCCGCAGGACCCATACCAGAAGCCATTGAGGCCACCCACAGTACATCCATATAGTGATAGGAGGGGGGTGAGGGTGGGACAGGATGGGGTCAAACTGCATCTATGATGAGTCGCTCTCTGGACTCCAGTCCAGGTCTGGGTGTGGTCTAGATGTGAGGTGGGTCGGGGATCTCTAGAGGAAAATTATTATAGAAGGAAAAAAAAAAACATAATGTACAAAGTAAAAAGATTTTATATCTCACTACCTGTTCAGAAAAGCCGATGTTACAAAAAAAAAACAAAAAAAAAAAA